TTCCATGTTCTGCCCAGTTGAAAAATCCTGGACAATTACCTCTCAGTCAACATACCTAATACATTTTGTTTAAACCCATTAAAGGGTTTGGAGGAGTCGACAATTTGCTCTATCAATGTGTTGTTTCACCAAAACTATGGGATCGAGCAATTGCGTTCTATAAGTATGAGCGTAACATTCATGCCAATGATAGTTATCAGAATTCTCCAATTACTTTCAGACAAACTCTTGTCTTTACCATCTTAGGGTGATCCTTACCACATTTCAGAAAAATCCATTCAGTCAATTTGAAAAAGAAGCAGATTTTGTATAAAATATATCTTCTATTTGATCCTAAAATGCATTGCGACTTGAGTGCCTATATCCTTTTGAAAGACTATGAATGCCCCAATTCCGATGCTGTTCAATATTATTAGAAAGAAAAAAAATACTATTCAGTGACTTGGAAGCATACAGTTTGTAATGTGTATCACGCGTATGTCACTAGATCGCGATAGTTTTATGCAAAAGGTCAAAAGAGCTAATTATCAACCCTACATTACGCTGTATTACAGACTCCAGAATCCATCATCGCCTCTTTCGAATGACTCGAAAGTAGCGAATAGGGGGTTTTGTCTATATGATACCCATCCGTTGCTCTATATCTAAGTGTTTAAAACAACTTCTCAGTCGATATCACCCAAAATAACAATACGCATCACAATACTCAGACTCGTTGCACATGTTTTCTGAGATCTAAGAGTCTTACTGCGGAATGCATTATCATATATTGCTTTATAATGTATTATGGAAGCTGAAATATATTCAAGATAAGATTTACGGATGTCTAGAACAATTTATGGTTGTTATTATTACACGTGTAGGTCTGTAGTCGCGAAAATGCTTAATTTGTGTATGTTATCCCATTTCAGATCAGTTATATCAGCTTGGAAATGACATATTCGTGTTTCTCGTCCCCAACAACCCCTGAAACTAAATATCACACGTTTATGTTGCTAATGGTATTGAAAGAATACTTTTCGAGCCAATTTCTGTCGCCATTTTGGATTTTGACGGCGATAATGGACCATACTTTTGTGAAATGAATCGGAAACTGTCCAAAATGGGTCGGGTGACCAACAAAACCTATAAAATGATATATTACACGGGTGGTCATTTTGCAAACAATGTTAGTCAAGGTCAATTTCAGGCCCCTTTGGCCGCCATCTGTCCTGCACAACCGACAAGCTGGAGAATCCCAGTTAGTGAGCCTGTGTCCTACCCACTGAGCCACAACGGCTCTCAAAATGAAATGAAATGAAATGGGGTTTAACGTCCTACTGTTCTGCTCCGAACTGGGATAATGAAGACGGGCATGCGCACTGTGGATCTTTTACGTGCACGCTAAAGTGTACACGGGACCTCGGTTTTTCGTCCCATCCGAACGACTAGACAGCTATCCTTGTCAGGCCCTCCGTCCTGCATCACTGACAAGGGGGACCAAAGTTATATAAAGTGTTACACAACCATGTTATACAAACGACAGGCGGGTAATATCATCTTATATAGATAATACCCCTGTATTGCAACAGACTCATAATTTTAAGTAGGCCTATTCAGCTCATTCTGGCGTGGCTAGACGTCTGAAAACGCTACTTCATATTCTAAATAGGCCTGTGTTTGCCCGCAAGGCATAGGGGGCCAATCGCAGTTGGGGGACTGAGGATATTTGCCCTAAAACTTTCTTTGTCACAAAGCTGTGATGGTTGTTTATTTTTAATTAATTACACAACAATATAAATTTACAATATGTTAAGCAAAAAACAACTTAATGTTCCCCATTCTTAGATGTTTGTGCCCGAAAAACAGAAATAAATTGCCAGAAAAATGGACGGTTCACCGAATCTGCGCTAATCCCCCCCACACACACACACACATACACACACACTCGCTCCCACGCAATAAAAGCAGTCTTCGAACATAAGTATTTGGGACTGACAACATATATAGACAATATCTTGGCGAAAACTTGTAGGCTAGTAAACGTTCTCTGCCCTCTGATGTACAGGTTAAATAGAAATTCTTTGAAAACAATTTACGTATCCTATATTTTTCCCGATATGTTATATGAGATGGGTGCACCGACGAACTTCCTAACAAACTAGAATCATAAGCTGTGTGTGTGTGTGTTATTTGTATTTTACGTCCGCTTCCACCGAGGTGATATCGCACTCAGGACTTTATGTGGTAATCATTTACACCATCGACGATCATAGAATGTAACCGACTTTCTGACTCTATCAGTATCTTTAAGCCCTGTATGCGATCATGATTTGAAAAAATCGTGATGATTATTTGACAAATTAAAGGACCTAAGTCCGTAACTCAAAATCATCCAAAATCTTTGACATCGAAAACACGAATTATTGGTCAATTTAAATCAACATTGATGATGTAAACTTCCCGGGAAAAAATGAGCTACTGATATCCGATATTTAAGATAAAATAATTTTTTTAACATTGGTACACGAATCGTGTACCATAATGCGCTACAGCCCCAGTTGTATTGAGAGACTCGAAGGACGAGGCTAGACACGTTGCACCATTAATCTGGTTTGCCCTCTGTTTGCCCCCCCCCCCCAAATAATTTTAGAAAATAAAAAAAAGTATTTGTGATACGTTTCGGTAATCAATACCTTCTACGGTGAATAAATCCCACATCCCCACTCAGTCATAAACTTGCATGTTGTAGAGCATTTCCGACAGTCTATGCGCTCACAAGGGGAATTCGTTGAGGTTCGCAAGTCCGTTCGTTTAACATTTTGTTCTCTAGTCGGATAAACTAGTGATCAGGTGACGAACGGTATCTGGGCAGATCTATTTATCTCGATGATCGGTGCCTGACAGAATACTGTACGACAACATTTCCGGCAGTCTATTTTTCAAAATTTTCTGGGAGAGGATTCGCTAATTTGACGCTCGTGAGTTGGCTTTGTCGTGATTCGCAAGTCAGTTCGTTTGACACTATACCTCATCGATCAGTGCCTGAAATACTGCCAGGCTGCATTTCCGGCAACCTGTTTTTCAAAATTTTCTGGGGGAGGCCCCCTACCCCTAGTTGAAGCTCGTGCCTTTGCCCCCTTAAACTTGGACTTTGCGCCAGCTTTGCCCCTCCAATCACCGACGGCTGGCGCCGGAGATGACTAAAACCTATGAAAAATTCATGATATAGAAATAAATTTATCGTCTGTATTAAAATAAAAATTGAATTTTTATTTTACCTCAAATCTTAATTTTAATACAGACGTTACTATTATCATGACACAGACGATAAATTTATTTCTATATCATGAATTTTTCATAGGTTTTAGTCATCTCCGGAAGGTTCAATTAAAATTAAGTTTCAATTAAAATATTTTTTAAATATGAATATGGCAAACCTGAAATTATAAATATGTACATAGCCCTTTTGTTCATTTACTTTGTAAAATAATCATAACGATTTTTTCATAAATTTGTTAGGGATATATTTTTTTTGTATTTATATTTTTTGTATCATAGGAGAGAGGTAATAAACGCCTAGCCTGTTCCTCAATTCTTTTCTGTGAATAAAATATTGTTTATAAAAAAGAAAACCACAAAAAAAAGTAATTTGACCAACAATTTGCATACTTAAACCAATATGTATATCAAAGAACACTGTGTAAAATATGGGATGACTAAGAATGTTTTTTTTTTGTTTTGTTTTTTTGTCAAGATTCTAACTGCTATTGAATTTCATTAAGACAATTAATTGCCGAGTTGCCCCCCACCCCTTAATACAATAGAGCATATTAAAATATGGACTTTCAATGTAATTGGAATAGTGGCAATTCATCCTTTTTCATCCAGACTTTTCATTTTAGCTGTTTTTCTGTTTAATACACATGAATCAACATGGTAATTTTGCATTGTTCACATTTCCCCTTCCTTTGCATTTTTTTGAAAACAATTTTATAGATTACAGTTTACTTTAAGAGGGAAAATGGACCATTGAAATTCATTCATAAGTACAATCTACAGATGATACTTCCACATGTCCCCAAGTTATAATAAATTTGTGTTTTGAATTCATTCAGGCAACTGGAACTAGCTGAACAGTTTGGCATGCTTTATATCATGCAAATTGTTGCTCAGCAAACCTTAAAGACTAACTACTTGCAGTATATTATAAAGGTGTCCACAGAATGAAACCTGAAAATACAGATTGCCAAGCAACAATGACCCCCACCCAAGAAGTCCTCTAAAGTTGACCCACTGGAAAGATAACTTTATTAGCCTCCACAGTAGCTACCGCATGTGATCTATAGACCATAACACTACAAGTAATTATTGTCTGGATATAAACTCTGTGTTCAAATTTCAAGTCAATTGGATGTTAACTATAACATCTTAAAGGAGCTAAATCGCTAACATTTGGGACCTAGAAATTGACAAAATTGGGTCGCAACGCATATAATACTGTAATATGAATGTATATAAACTGATTTACATTCAATTGTTTGTTTTTACTCCAATTTCAAAATCAGTTATGTTCGGCGAAATAAGCCAGCAGTCTCAAGCGAGTGCAAATTTCTAGCGTCTGGTTATTCCAGTCTACATATGCCGTTTGATTTGGTGCAATGTGTCTAGCCTCGTCCCTCGAGTCTCTTGATACAACTGGGGCTAAAGCGCATTATGGTACACGATTCATGTACCAATGGTAAAATGCTTATTTTGTCTTAAATATTGGATATCAAAAGCCCATCTTTTTCCGGTAAGATCACAACATGAATGTTGATTTAATTTGACAAATAAATCGTGTTTTCAATGTTGAAGATTTTGGATGATATTGAGTTAGAGACTTAGCTACTTTAAGGCATAGCCAAGGATAATGGCAATATAGAAAACAACAATATAATCTGTAACGCTCAAAATGGAAGTAATTAAACTAAAATTAAAACCATGTTCACTGGCCTATTTTAAAAAAAAAATCATGAACAATTTGTTTATTTAACAATATTTTATCTGCCTTTTGACACAAACATACACACTAAAAAAAAAAAGCTTACACAGAAAGTACATGAATAATATTGAAAATATGTAAGAAAATTGAATACAAGTTGATGTCAGTACCCTGGTTGTAGCAATCATATTATTATCATAAACCATTCCTACCTATTGGATATCATATATTGTCATGACAATTATTGTAACCTTGTACAACAATAACAAAAATTTTGAATCTGACTTGGTGAGGTGGGCAGCTTAGAGATAGGGCAGGGAACAACGGATTTGCAGATTTTCACCTGTACATATGGGGGGCATGGATCATGTGGCCTGTCTTGTAAATTGCACATAAATAAGCCTCACATCCCCACCCTGTCTTCACACATCTTACATTGGCTTAAGAATGCCAAATCACATCAAGTTATCAGTTCACTATAGTCAAATTTAGACAGATACAGTATGGTAACAGATGACTTGATTTATAAAATCATATGTTCTGTAAGAAGACTGACTGTTTGTTGACTGATAAAAATTGAAAAGAACAACATTGATCAGCAGGGGATTATTATAAACATCAATACAAGAGAATGAACATATTTCTATACTGTAACAATAAAACTAATCAATTTTATATATAAAAAAGTGAAAAAATTGACAATAAAATATATTGGTTTAAAATACAAGTGAAAGCCACCAATTTAACAATGTACACAATAACAACAACAACAAAATGGCAAGCTATAATAACCAGTCTTTAACACAATCTCAATTTATAATATATATATTTTAAATATACATAAAGATTTCATCAAATATATATAGAGTGGAAATGCCCCAACATATTTACAATTAATATTTGTTTTCCAATTTGGAAAGTAAATTAAATTAATAAATATGATACACAATGAAAAGCTGTAATATTATTATCAATTTGGAAAATTAATTAAATCAATAAATATGATAGAACAATTAAAAGCTGTAATATTGCCAATAAATATAAATAGATAAGACAATTTGAATTATATTACTACTTCCTTAATAACAACTGTAAACATTCTATCAGTTGTCAATCATAATTTAGAACCCTATTCAAGAGAACTTAAACCTTTTTCATTGCTGTTAGCCTATACAGAGTTATAGACCATACTTGCTTTATTATCAATGTTCCTGATTGTAAATTTATTATCTTTATGTTAAAAAAGAACTGTTCCCTTCTCTCAGGTTTAATTAGATCATCTAGTGCAACCTTAAAACTTACTCTTAACTATTTTTCTTAGACCTAAACAAATAAAATATGAAAGAAACTGTTGGTCGTTAGTATGTGAACTACATGTTATGAATGCAGTGTATAGCTAGCAACTACAACAGACTTCTACAATCGCTATTAAGTGAAAGACCTCACTACATCGTGGAAGCGAATGTTAAATAAATTTCACACAAACACCCTAAGTGATAACTGTACTAGTGATGTTTTTAGATTGAATAGTGTTTTCCATACATAGCTATTATGTTTTTAGCAACAAATATTTTTTTTCTCAGTAGTTTTAATATATTTTCCAGTGGTTATGTTTTTGGGCCCTCAAATATATTTTTAAGACTCATTCAAATCATTAGTCTGAGAAATAACATAGATAAAGCTGGTCCCACCAACTGTGATTTTCATCATGATATGCTATGATAACCTGCGATAGGACAAAAGTCTTAGCATTTGTGATGTATTTTTTGTGAGAGTACAAACAACATCTTACTGTAACATAAACAATCAAAGAATTTAATCTAGGCAATCAATATTGAAGTGGACTTAGCTGGGCCCTTGTAATCATACCATGTGATAAGTACATGCTGTGCTTGATATTCTTATGTAATGGAATGTCAATTCTACATTTGTACACACAGGTTACACAAATATCTTGACCATAGAGTTTCCATTATGTTTTAAATTTTTTAAGTAGATAACAGTCACTATTTAAATTTGGAATGTTTTTAACTATGTTTTGATTTGTGCTCTTGGATCTACCTGTATAAGGGAATGCATTAATTTTGAACTTGTAAATAACTGTCAGAATCAAAATATTTATCTGAGATTTTTTGTCCCAAGATCAACAAATAAATGTACAATTCACAAAAGTTAGAAATAAATTCAGTGACTAAATAGAATGAGATTTTTTCAAACATTATGAAAAGTTCCACAAAACAGGAATAGCACATGCTTTAAGTCAGCCATATGTTTCCTTAAAGTAATTTGTATATTTCTTTAACATACATTTTAAAATACTGAATTAAATTCATGTGTTTGCAGAAGCTTCTTCAATAAAATCAAGGACAGTTTTAGCTGCTTCTTGTACTTTTGGATCTTTATGTTGAACAAGTTGTTTAATAGTGTCAGCAATACCTGATGTTACAATCTCTTCTCTTAAATTACCTACAAATATATACAATCAGACACCTTAATAACAATATACAATATTTAAAGTTTAATCATTATCATAAATACCTGTGTATAAATTGTATTTACTTTATATACATTTACATATCTTACATATCTATGGTTTGATTTTTTTAAAATGCAAACTAAGTATAAAAATATTTCAGTTACTACCATGTCTTATATCTTATAGCAGATCAAACAGAAAGGTAACTGGGTAACTTGAAATATAAAAAATCTGAATATTAAAGTCTTGCAAAAATGTAAAAAAAAAAAAAATCATTTGAGTATTCTGTCCTCAGTAGTATTGTCAAGCATTGTAAGTAAAAATGTTACGTTGAGCCCCAGATGGAATAATTCTTTGTCGTTAATGAGCCTTTTATCAGAGTTTCAGTTTCAGTATACTTCCAATATTCTCACAATAATGTCACTTATTCTAAACAAACTACATGTATATTTTGGTTGCTTACTAATTCCAGAATTATGAGTTTTCAAATGTTGTTTTTAAGAAATATGGAGGTTTGAGTTTAAACGATTCAATAAGTTTGTAGATAACCACAATATATTATGTTTTAACTCCATGCAAGGTTTTGCTACTTTAAAAAAAAAAAAAGAAAAAAAAAAAAAAAAAAGCCAACATTGAGGCTGATGTCCTCCGCCGCAATCCCAAATTATACTCTTCAAAAAAAGTAGGAGATATTGAAATGCAAATATCTATGCAGGTTGTGATACGATAAATAGTCATGGACACTTGACATGCTTTGAGAGTATGTTCACAGATAAAGAACTTATCGCCCCAACAGAACCACTGAGCTTTAGTGTGTTACATTTAATTTAATCGGGAGGAGACGTGTTCATGACTCAGATTGCCCCAAATCGTGATTGGACAGTTGATTAGGAGCATGCCACAACGGATTGATGAATGTCTGAGGATTGGTGGAGCAATTACTCATTATTAAGACAAAAATCAAAAACGTCCATTTTCGCTTTTAACAGTGAATATCTTTGCGAGTGAAATGGGGACGTCAGATAAGCCACCCATATGAACTGTTTATGTTCATGTGTAGGCAATTGGCCTGTTATTAACATACACTGGTTACCTATAATAAAAACAGCAGTGCATTTCCACAGTTTTGTATTGTTTCTGAATATCCCCTACTTTTTTTGAATGGTATAAATAGATGACAAAAATTAATTAATAGCACATTTATCTTTGAAGTACCTGGAAGTGAAAATCTTCACTAAGTTTTATCACTATCCTTAAGTTAGAATCAAAGTTATCTTGTCCCAAAACATCGACCAATGAAATTGCTTAGCTCTGTTTAGTTTTAGTGGAAAATTTTAATCATTGAACTCAGTGAAGACATTCACCTAATGAACATCTACACCAAGTTTAAACATTCTATGTTCCAAAGTATTGACCAATCAAATTGCTTATTGCTACTTTGCCTAAACAGAAAATTCTCATCATCGAACTTAGTAAAGATATTGAATAACGACTCTATACTCTGAGTTTCATCCCCTCATCCAATTAGAACCAAAGTTATCGTGTTCCAAAGTCTCAATCAATCAAATTGCTAAACTCTGCTTAGCCTTAGTGGAAAATGTGCATAATCGAGCACTGTCAAGGCATTCACCTAATGGACACCTACACCAAGTTTGAACATTCTACCTCAATTAGAAGGAGAGTTATTGTGTTCCAAAGTCCCAACCAATCAGATTGAAGTCTCTACTTAGCCTATAAGCAGAAAATGCTCATAATCGAACTTAGTCAAGGTATTGATATAACGAAACAATACGTGAAGTTTCACCACTCTCACTCAGTGAGAATCAAAGTTATCAAGCTCCAAAGTCTTGACCAATCCAACTGCTTATCGCTCTGCTTACCCTGAGCAGAAAATGCTCATTATCGAACTTAAACAAGGTATTGGTGTAATGAAACTATACACCAAGCTTCATCTCTCTCACTTAATTCGAATGGATACAAGAAGAGGAATGGCAACGCTCCTTTTAAAGAATAACTAAAGCTGGACAGGCTTGGTAGATATGTGTAGCTACTGGATCAGGAAAGAGCAATAATGTAAATTTATACACTTAATAAGCACCAAAGTTAAGTGTCCCAAAGCATTAACCAATCAAATTGCTTATCTCTGCTTAGCCTAAGCAGATAATGCCTATCTTTGAACTCCATCAAGGTATTGAACTAATAAATGCTTAGACCAAGTTTGAACATTCTAGCTCAATTAGGAGAGTTATTGTGTTCAAAAAAGTATGACGGACAGACAGACAGACAGACAGATGCACAGACCCATTTTAATACAACAAATAGACCCCTGTTTTCTTCGAAAGGCGGTGGACAAAAATCAGAGAAGTCTTAATGTGAAAACTCTAACATATGAGAAGAATTCATAGAGACAGATGGATGTAGGTGATGATATTTCCAGATTTTTATATATGTTGGTATATATATATATATATAAAAAACATGCTTCTGCATTAATTTCATGCCACATTTAGCCTTAATACTACAGGTTGCAAATTTCTATGTAATGTTTCACTAATTTATAGCTTTACAGCAATTATTATGTCGATAAATTGATAAAAAAAAAGATGAAGTAATAATGCATTTGGTAACCATGACGATGTCAGTAAAATCATCTTCCGAAATTTCATTGAATAAGGGATTTAACAGTGAACCTACTTTAATGTGTATCAGTATAAAAATAAATTCATAAAATTCCATTTTCATGAACTAGCTTATAAAAATATTCAACAATAATTAGCATACATCAATTTAATTTAAAACATTACATTACATTATGTGAAATTGAAATCAAGAAAACCAAAATTACACCAACTATATCAATTCAGAAATAATTCTGCCTCATGTTTCATGCATCTCGCGTGGAACCAAGCTAGAGATATGTTGAATAGGGGATGGAGTATGCATCATAAAACTTCTGTTGTGTATACAATATTACGTGTAGCGAAGCAAAAAAATGCAATTCTACCCAAAAATACACAAATTCAAAGCGTCAATGTTATTACATTCATTACACAAGTAGGTGACATTAATAACACGGGTACAACATTGATGTGTAAACTGAAGGACCTACTCTGAACATCGGATAAAAACCCTGTACAAGCCAATAAACTACATCGTAACATTTGAGGACTTGTTGGAGAGGCTGCAAAATTAGTAGGTTATATTAGGATAGTGGCATAATAGTATATTATAACTAAATGAAAAAGCAGCAAATAAGATGCATGTGAATAATGATAGCCTTTAAGTACAATATGCAATTATAGAGACTCATTTAGGTTTAATCTTAGATATTACATGGAAAATATAATGCAAAGTGCCAGACTATCAAAATAAAGAATAGTGTGTATTAAATATTTGACTAATACATACCAGCACTGCATATAGTTTTAGTTAATGTTAATGTATTGTATAAAATCTCAGGTAATGTGGAGGAATTCTTTAAAATATCTGTCACTGTTTTAGCCAAATCGGCTTCTTTTAACTGATCTGCAGCATCCTCTACAATAAAAGTTTGTTTATATCATACATAGTAAAATGACAAAATATGTCACACAGTTTGTTTTCGCCAGATACCAAAAAAAAATTATCTCAAGATCCCCAGAAACATGGGATATTGAATTTATTGCACTCAGGAACTGGGGATGCTATGATGTTTAAATCTAGATCGGGGAATCTATGTGTATGGCAGAATCAGGGGATCTACATGTGTGTAAGGATGTTTGGATTTTGAGATAATTTTTCAAAAAAAAAAAAAATCTTTCACAATTCAGAAAAAGTATGTGGGATATTTAATGCTTCCAGACAATAAACAGCTTACATAGCAATAACATTTACTCATATATACAGGTAAAATAGTTAAATAATAAACAACCATTAAATATTAATACATAATGATAACACAAAAAATACTAATTAACAAATGATCAGTATTTTAAGGATGTACATTATACAGCAGATTGTCATCTACAAATGAGGGAGTCTTGTTCAATTTGTCTGTTGCATCAGGGATCTTCAAATTTGATATAAACTGGGCAATTCATCACCAAGATATACAGTACATGTTTTATCTTTCAAATATTTTAGTGGTTTTCAAAAAGTCTAATGAATGCAAAATATCTTTTTCTAAGCAGGCTAGAGCTTGATTTTTGGTAATTGGGCGAGCCTAATATGCAGATTATTACATATACAGCTAAATCACATTCTATATGTGACATGTTCTCAACATGAACAGCTATTAGGTCAATGGTGTATTACAAGCATAACATTTACTTAATTAAAATATTCTGAACTGACAAAAATGTCTTTCCTTTGTTTTTACCTTCAAGATACATGTACGGTTGTGAGAAAATTGGGACAACTTAACCGACCAGTAGACTCTTTGATTAAACAGTGAAAAAAAAAGTTGGCAGATGATCCAGAATTTAATTAGTCTTCGATCTTTATGGTAAATGGACAGTAATTCGACCTTTATGCCTAATAGACAGCAATTCGATGTTTATGGTTAATGGACAGCAATTAAAGACAAATACAAGCTGAACATAGATTCTCCCTCAATCAAGTCACGTGACAGAAAGGAAGCTTAAAATAGATTCTTGTGGAATGGGGTAGTTTTCTTGCGATTAAAATGTTTTAAGAGTGATTGGAAGCCAACTTTTGATAGATCAATTAGTTTGAATATGTATTTACCATAGTCCAAATATATCATCAAATCACACAGTTTGTACGTGGTAAGACATTTTTAAGACTTATCAATAAAGACCTAGCAGCCAATATTTCGCCATCATGCAAAACTTAGTGTTATAAAATCTGTACATTTTAAGCTACCGCTACTTTGCTAATGTTTATACTACAATACTTACCTAAAACAGTTGAACAGATTAAGGTCAGAGCTATTAAAGCTTCATTTTGCATGACAACATGTTCTGATGTTGCCATGGAAACCAGATACTGTATTCCATCAGATTTGATAATATTTTTCATCACTTCTGGCGATTTACTATTTTTTATTAACCAGGCCAGAAGTCGTGTTGCCTCTCCTGAGAGAAAAAAAGAGCAAAATTATTTTTTTATTCACAGAATGATTTGAAAAGATTAATTTCTATGACATTACACATTGAAACTCTATTTCCAGTGTAACTATGATTTAATCTAATTTCTATAAGTTATAGCAAAAAAAATAAATAAATAAATCACCTCTAACCCCTGCATGTTCTTCTACATCACACCATTCTACTACATGTACTAAAAAATCTTTTTCTCCACCTAACATTTTAGCTGCTTCTTCTGTAATTAAATATATTAATTCAAGTCATCATCAAATAAAAAGAATTTCAGTTTTCCATTCCCCCAAATCACTAGCTTGATATACTCCAGATCCCTATTTGCATTTTCATACCTGTGTAACCAACTTTCTAAGATGCATTAATTATCAAAAAGCAATTTTGCCCATAGCCGTTTTCTTTGGGAGTTATCTCCCTTATACTTTATTTTGAACTTTTAAGGAGAATTTGTTCAAGTAGCTACTTTAAAGCCTTTAATATTTATATATATGATAAATCTGGTTACGGTAACATTTAAACATAATAGAGATACACAATTACATATACTTTTGACAAGTATCAATCAGTATTCATAACAGCAGAAACATTTTAGGCATAAGTCACATGATCTGACTATATCTATCCAATAATGAATTGTATACCAACCTTGTCCATCTATTAACATTCGGGAAACCCCCAATATTTTAAATACCACTGGCATTGATTCAGTATTAGCTAATTTCAATACTGAAGGCATTACACCTGCCTCTAAAAGTCTTGGTTTATTGGATGCTGAAATAATTGAAGAAATGTACAATTAAATAGAAAATATATATTTGATTATATTTAAAACAAATACTGTATGTTACTATTGTTTCATTAGTTAATTGTCTATTCCTTTATGTTTATATGAAGTTGGAATTTAAATGTTTTCTTCTTTACCTGGGATAGCTAAATTTCGCAGAGCACTTAATGCAGCATGTAAAAGGGTCATATTGCTATCTGTAGGAAGTACTTCCAACAATTTCAATAGGTGTTCAACAATTCCATTCTCAACAAGGAGACGACAATGTTCATCTGAAAACAAAATAAATATAAAATATTCATCAAATTATGATATCAATACATGTTTATAGCTTTTAATCTTGTTTACTTATCTGCACTCATGTTATATTATTAATGGTACTTTTCCATATTTGAAAATATAAGTTACCAGGTATCATATCCACTTACCACTTCTTGCAAAGTTACCAATAGCTAATGCTCCTGATGTTTTAAGATGGTCGTTTTCACTTGACAACCATTTCACAGATTCTACAAATACTTGACCATCACCATTACCAAATAACATCTCCATACTTTTATCTTTAAATTGCAAATTGATATATTCAAAAAAAATGTTTATCAAGGTAAATAACTCGTAGGCCTAAAGAAAACAAATTTGAAAGGGGGGGGGGGGGAACAATCCTGAACTATTGGTTACATTCTTACAACATTTTGTATTAATAGACTAATTTATACCTCATTTAAACTGTCATATCTTAGACGACATTAGAGTTGCAAAAATGTACAGCAGAAGAGTATAATAGGTTCATAAATATTGTAAGACACTGTCTTCAAATTTTTTAATTTGTATCTTATGACATATTTTAGTATGTCCATGATGCACATTTCATTTCAATTCACAATTAAGTTTTATTATCAATACATTCTACAAATAATAATATTGTACTTACCACCAACTAGCAATGACACCATCAGATCAGATGCCATTTTGATTTTCTGTTGACTGTCTGAATCTGACTTTCCGACATTTGATTGGATTATTTGAATCAAATGATTACTTAAATTAGTACTTGCTAAATTTTCTTTGATTGTTTCTAGAATAAGAGTGTGCAATTTTAAAACAAAATGAAAACATTTACACATGTATATAGGATTTAGATAAATAACATGTATCATTTAACACAAAGAATTTTATCTTTGCAAGCTCAAAATACAACTTTCTTTCACCATTTTACATTTTTATACTACAGACAATTACACTGCTCTCTTAGCCCCTAGTAAAACAGAACAACTCTCAAACACTATCACTAGTCTCTTTTGCTATTTTAAAACAAGCTCATTATATGTAATTTTAAAATGCATAATCTTTTTCAAATCCTCTGATTATTATATTCTTAATTAAAATAATTTCACACTGGTACAAGATGTTATTGACAATTTATAATTGAGTTAAAATTCCATTAAGGTGGAAGCAGATAAACACAGCATACTTCAGGTCTGTGATTAATAACGTCAGTTTAAATGAGTTTATCTACACAGTTAATTTAGTCTACACTATTAAATAAATACTCACCACATTCAGTAAGTGTAATGAGTATATCTAATATTGTTTCTATATGTATGTGAGCTTTATCTTTCACCAATAGATCTACCAATGTTGTCAGTGCAGCACATTCACTGATTTTCTCTCTACCAGAATCTGAATAAAACAAACAAAAAATACCATAGATTTCAAGAAGTATTAAATGAAATGAAATGGGGTTTAACGTCATACTTTTCTGCACTGACTGGGTTAATGAAAACAGACAATTCCGTGCAATGTGCTATGAGGGAAATTTTGCCCAACAGACGGGCCATTAAGTACTCTTATTTTGAATTCCAACTGTCAAGCGTTCTTTTCCCTGCAAGCCAATGTGTACACAGGACCTCAAATTTTTGTACCATCTGAATAACTAAACGATGTTCCTTGTCAGACCTTGCTTCCTGCACCACTGACAAGGGGAAACCACACCAGAAATTCACAAGGAATTTTCTTGGCCAACACCGGAAGTGAAGACAAGACCTCCTGATTAGCGAGCCAATGTCTTACTTACTGAGCCATCCCGACTCCCAAGTATTAAAGGCCAATCCTATGTCACTGCTTCAATGTTGTAATCACATGATTCCACTAAAATATCTTGTTCACAAACCAAATACGGTCTCAATAAAAAAAAAAGCATCTAATGGACCATGTGAAAAAGGTCATACTAGAAGAATGTTTTCACTGAAATTTCCAAAACTATCTTTGACCCAATCATTATTATGTAAAACAAACTGGTAAACCATACTTGGTTTTCAAACAAAAATCGCTTAGTAATCTTGTATAAATGCTCTGACCTATCCAGGGGCGGATTGGGGCCGGTCCCGGCCCGGGCTCCCGTGTCGGGGGGACTCTCCCCCGGGAAAATTTTGAAAAATGAACCCCAAATATGCGATTTGGTGGCATATCTGGTTATAATCTCTGTCAACGAGTTAATAAAAATGTCATGGAATGTTTAACACCAGGCCCAGGAAATCGTCTCGACTCATATTCAACCAGCAGACCAGCTATAATCAAATTTTGCTGCGTATCCCCACAAACAGGGTGCAGATGACTTAATAATTAGTAAATTTGCGGGCGACAGTGTTGGGTGAATCCGATGAAATTTTCGGATGAAATTCGGAATCCCCATTGCAGGATTCCGAATTCATGCCCACACCCAGCACACCCGGCCCAGAAAGTCTATTATACCAGCCCATTGCAGACTCCAGTGATGGCGTGGCGCCCCGTTAAAGCCACCGGCCACATACAACATGATCATCATTGCTCCATGGCCGGTCCAATACATGCCCCCCCCCCCCATATAATGTTCAGCAGAAATTTTTAAAGAAAAGCTGGACTATTAAAGTACCGGTAGCTAAGTCTCTAACTCAATATCATCCAAAGTCTTTGACATTGAAAACACGAATTATTTGTCAATTGAAATCAACATTGATGTTGTCATATTACTGGGAAAATATGGGCCTCTGATATCCAATATTTAAGACAAAATAAACATTTTACCATTGGTACATGATCCGTGAACCATAATGCATTTCAGTGCCATTTGTAACAGGGGACTCAAAGAACGAGGCTAGACATATTCCAAGAGTCACGTCAATCGCTGACGTCATATTCTTATCTGGAGAGCATGCACAATAAATACTATCAGTGTAGACTTGAATAACCAGATGCTAGAGATTGCCATTCGACTGAGACTTCTGGCATATTTCGCCGAACATAAATGAATCAGTTTATATACATTCGTATTACATTATTATATGCGTTGCAACCCATTTGTGTAAATTTCTAGGTCCCAAATATTAGTGATTTAGCTCCTTTAAATCAACTTAGTCCAACACAGCAAACACTATTTTGAATTAAGAGCTTCTGCTCCTTCAGGCCAAAATTTACAAACAAGAGAGTGAGAGAAATGGGGTTTAACATCCACTCGACACAAACTAGGTCATTTTAAGATTAACATATGGTTAAATTTTATTTCAATAATTTGCTTAACCTTAGAGGACCTTAGAGTGGGAGTACCAGTAGAAAACCCAAGAGGTTGCATAGAGGACCCTACTCCTTGTCTGCATGATAAAGATTAGAGTACATGTACATTGTAGTTTATATCATATTGATATATGAGTCAAATATTCTATTCCACTTATCATAATGTTGTAAAAAAGAAAAATTTGCATAAGACTAAGATTAAGATCAAGATAACATATTTTAGTTTTAGACAGATAAAACACTTCATTCTGTGTACACAAGTGCAGCATAATGTTTATATTATATGCACTAGGAAGATTAACTCATTACACATGAGTATAAAAAATGAAAACTAAAGAGAAACCTGTACTAAATGTAAATAACATTCAAAATTTATCTCTCTGGGGTCTTAGCACCCCATCATTACTCGAAAAAGATTTTGCATAACAAGACCAAAACACTTTGAAGCCCATTTTAAAAACACAGAAAAAAACTGTCAAATCAAAATATCTCACGCTTAGCTTAAATTTGTATCTGTTATGCTGTAGGAGTGATAAGTTTCCATAGTCTTTAACCTGTTTCATGATACAAGAATGAAACAAAGGATAATTATAGCTCTGAAATGGCTGCATGTGACCTCATTTGCCCTTTAACCCAGAAGGGTCATGTTAATAAATGTCTAATTAATAATTTATATAACATTTAAGTTACAAAGAAAGACCTGCAATAGGTAGATTTAGCTCTTAAATAATGCCTCTTTAAATTTCAGTCTTTATCGGCAGAAAACCACCATGAGACAGATTTCTGGGAAATCGGGAACAGTTCAGGGTAACCGTAAACATAAGTTATTTTGTTTTTTGGGCCTTGCTGTTATCATTAGTTTATATTAGAGTAGTAAGAAGTCATACCTGAGTCAGATAAACTACTGAAGGTTAATAAGGTCATATTGGTCAATCCTTCATCATCAAGATGTTTAGTCAAACAAACATCTAATATATCCAATACACCATTATCTAAAGCCTTCTCTTGTAAAACATCTAGTAAAAAAATAAAAATCATTAAATTAGCAATATTTTAAAAGGAAGGGTGTAGAGCTCTACTCTTTGGAACCTTAAAATTGACGAAAATGGATAAAAAAAAAGAGCACATATTAGGTGATAATAAGATATTAGTGTATATATACATGTATAAAGTGATTTACATTTAATTATAGTAATTTCTAATCAATCAATTTTAATCAAATATGTGAATAGTCCAAATTGAACGACAGTCATTTGCGTAGTCCATTTTTTAAAATTATTATTTTTTCGTATTGTGAATCGGCCATTTCTAATTACTTGTACATTGTCATCTGTGATATGTTTTTCTTTGATCATTAGGATCCCATAGATAACAACATCAATATTGATTGAAATAAGACAATTTGTGTTTTACAGATTTAGTTCCTTTAAAACAAGTTAAAATAAAATGTGATGTCATCCTTTGATTATTTCAAATAATGGTACTGGCAACTTGTCAATAGTAATTATTTATACTAGATGAAATTTTGGACACGTGGGACAGTGCCTGTATTTTATGTTGTTTAATGGTATCGAGCAAGACATTGTGTAATATATATTCAAACAACACTCAACTATTAGACCATACAGAACTGTCAAAATATGACATCCAATTATTATGGAAGAATCTAAATAAAATTTTAAACAGAAGGTAACCTGATAATGTGATATAGGCTTAAACACAGTCTGAAAATAATGACCAATCAAATGGAAATCTGCACTATCAGAGACTATCATTTTGTAGACGGTCTTTGTTGATAAATTAAAACCTATTTAAGTTTATTATATTTGCTGATGCTTATATAAAAATAAATGTCATTGATTCTTCAAGTAGAAAGAACCCAGTTTTAAATTAATAACAGTAATATCTATCATGCTCATCTATATCATATTAAGGTATTATTGGTCACTAACCATCATTTCATACAATATGAAAATGCTTCTTATCAAGCAGAATTGGACTATAGTTCTCTCAATAATATCCAGTACAATGACAAAACCCTTATTAATTCCATTTTAACCATGGGAAAACAGAATACCTTCTATGCTTTACTTATACTTGAATTTATATCAAACCATCTTTTCTAATACCGGGTACCTAACTTTTTGCCTTAATCATAATCGAATATGTATTAAAATTCAAACCTAATACCTAACTCTGTTTCTCAATTATAATCAAATTTATTGTCCCAGCCTTTAGAACAAAGCAGGGGACTATTAAAATGGGTCTGCCAGTCTGTCTGTCTGTCTGTATGTCCGTAAGCAGAACGATGAGCAATTTGATTGGTCGAGACTTTGGAACACAATAACTGTTCTTCTAATTTTGTTTAAACTTAGTGTAGGCCTTCACTAGGTGAATGCCTTGATGGAGTTCGGAGATGAGCATTTTCTGCTTAGGGTAAGCAGAGATAGGCAATTTGATTGGTTGATGCTTTGTGACACGATAACATCAATACCTTGAATAAGTTTGATAATAAGCATTTTCTGCTTAGACTAAATAGCCATAAGCAATTTGATTGGTCAAGACTTTGGAACATAACAACTCTGCTTTTAATTGAGGTAGAATGTTTAAACTTGATGTAGATGTTCATTAGTTGAGTTAATGACTGAGTTCAATGATTAACAATTCCCACTAAAGCTAAGCAGAGGTAAACAATTTCATTGGTCGATGCTTTGGGATAAAACTTTGATTGTAACTGATTAGATGAAGAGTGATGAAACTTGGTGTTTGATCGTGAACATTTTATGCTTAGACTAAGTACCGGTATAGATAATTAGTTTGATAGCTCAATACTTTTGAAAAAGATAAATGTGCAATTAATCAATATGTGTCATCCATTTATTTTGGGATTTCGGCAGGGGACATCAGCCTCACTGTTGGCTTGTATTAAAATTCAAACCTAATATTTCAAGATACATTACGGGAGATTAGATAAAGAGCTGGTAGTTCTCACTATAATAGTTAAAAACTACATAATGTAAAGGGAATTTACTGAAAATTTCAGTCATATTGATCAACCCTGATTGAGTTTTGGGCCTAGCCTTGATCATCATTACTAAAGTCGGTATGATAAAAAACATAGTCTCGATTATCCATTTTTTGATTTAATCAGAAGCAGCAGAACGGGTTCTAATCCAGTAAATATCGCAGGCTAACGATGCTAGTGTCCAATGCCATCGAGAGTTGATTATGGTCTGGATAAGTTAATTGATGTCTAATTAATAATTTAGATAACATTTCAGGCCTAAAGAAAAACCTGCATTTGGCAGATTTAGCTCTTGCATAATGTATGTTTAACTTTTCATTTCATAATTATATTATCAATACATATATATATATATATAATGTCAGGTGACTTTAATCTAAAAATGTATTAAATGATAAATATTTTATCTTGCTTATTAATGATATAAGATGTAGATACATATTGAAAAGATTAAATGATAAATAAAAGATTAATCTAACCATTTAACAGATAGGTATAAATGTTTTCAATTAACTACTGATTTAACATGTATAATTCTAAGAAACTCTTGAAATGTGATAACGTTCAAGTCTTGCCAATTATAAAGTAAAGTAAGCCATGTAAAATTAAGCTTATATAATGTATTACAAAGCAGCGCTTTTGTTAAAGTCTATCTATTCCACTGAATTAGAAACAAATCAGATTCTTCACTCATATTTCTAAAGCAAAGATATTTACTATTTTAATTATGCAATTAAGTGCATACAAGTATAACAAGAGGATTCTTTTGTATACCCAAAACTAAGATATATTTGTTTCCATGAAAACACAAAAGGTATTACATCTGAGGAACATCTAATCAGGAAAAGCACAACAGCTATAATAGGATGATGTGTGTAAACAGTTTTATAAACATATCTTGAACTGTTTATGAGATATTCTCCTGGACAAAACCAGGATGGATAGAGGAACAGAAGAGAGCCCTTGTCAATATTTCTCCCTAACTTTGCTCGGTTTGACATAAAAAAAAATTCAAGAAGATTGAGCTGGTCTGTACAACAGAGAATTATTATTACATTGTACAGAATGATTATAACATTATTTGATTAAGACAAATAAAGATGGCCATGTAGAAACCAAAGTAAGCTTTAAATGGCAATAACTTACTGTACGCTATAAATGAATAAATTTAGTATGTTTCTATTAAAAAGAATTATTCTTGACTGATGGTCTTAAACTCTATAATTAACTGTTATTCTGGCATGTTGGGGCTTTAATAAAAACAAATATAGCAATGAATAGTCACTTGCTTGTATTCTAAAATATGGTTCAACAAATACTATTTTCATTCCATCATATTTCTGTATATGACCCATAATAACTTTTACTGATTACTATCAAGATTAGACAGGAACTAGAAAAGATGGCAAAGACTGTGAGAATCAATGAGCCTAGCACAGGTATGTGATGTGTTCTCCAGATGGTAAGATTAGGTGCATTTAGCAACATAAATTCTATACTAAAACCTGTCAAAACATAGAACAACTAACTTTCCTTCAACATTCTTTTAATAGTGTTTACAGTTAACACCTAGGTTTCTTCTTAATGGTTCTTAATGAATAATAAACTATAACTAGGGCTGGGTATCGATAGTGATTTTTACTATCGATAATCGGCAATGAAATGTCGGTCGATAATCGATAGTATCGAAAACAAACTTATTTTCACGGTCGTCATCAAGACTGGATACAGTGTAAGTTCAAAGTTCAAAACCATACGAAGTTGCGAAAGATCGTTTGCTCCTGTCTCAGGAGATTTATTTGGAAAACATTAATAAAACTTGTTATATCACGTATATATACGTAAATTGATGTTTTTATTATTAAAATAATGCAGCCGTGGTTCCGAATGAAGAAATATCGTAAATAATTATGTTAAGGGACCAAAATGAACTTGTTCCGATTCAAAACATTGCGTACATGCGCGCGAAAATATCAATATGGCAGACAAATTCTGAAGCTTGCAAAGGGAAATAACTCTAACTTTATTTACACATCCGGGTATCTCCGATTTAGCAATATTCAACAATAATTTCTTCAAAACTAAAGTAACGTTTCAATGAGAGTGAATTTATGAAAATGGCTGTTCAATAAGCAGTCACAATTTTGTTATGTGTTACATTGATATTTGATAGTAATTAAAGTGAGCGGTGTATTATGATTAACTGAAAGAAAACATTGACATTTCAGACGCAAGAAAAATAGACGAAGAGCGATAATCGATAGTAACCCACCGCTATCGATAGTGCTTTTCTGGGCCGTCCAATCGATACTATCGATTTATATCGATATTTTACCCAGCCCTAACTATAACACATAAGCTTACCTATGGAACACAGCTCATACTCATCCAGTTACTAAATGTTTCTAAAAGGTTCTTAATTATAAAAAGGCATGACAATATGATAACAATTCAATATTACCATGTTCAATTTATTGCATAGGTAATATTTTACAGGTATCCAATCATAACAACATAGGTAGCCAGCAAACAATGCATACCCCCGCCATTACTCTATCTTGCTGAGTGCGTGCTGTATCACAAGGCCCGTCATTGAGTCAACTGGCGTGGTTTCGAATCCTATGTTGTACGTGACAAGGAGTGGGGTCGCCTGTCCAGCCTCGTTGGTTTTCTCCGGGTCCTCCGGTTTCCTCCCACTGCTAAAGACCCCTACGTTAGTCCCGAAATGACCTAGTTTGTGTCGAGTGGACGTTAAACCCCATTTCTCTCTCTCTTGCTCTCTATCTTGCTGAGGTAAGCTTAGTTCCACACATACCAATTCTTGTGTCAACAATATCTTTAACAATAGGGAGAGATAATTAACCTTCTTTTTCCAGACATCCCAAATATATCTAAAATCAATAGGATTCATCCTTGCAATAAGTTAAGACTACCCTTATAAATTTGGAAAAATTAGTCAATAATTGCACTATTTGCAGCTATAAGAGTGCAAACTTTATTATCATATAAAAAAACCTGTTTAAATTCAACAGGCTTCGCCTTTTCAAACTGATAAAAAAAACTAATACAAATTTCATAAAGATCTATTGAATGGTGCAGTATTCAGAATGCTAACAAGGACCGTAACTCTCAAAGTGATCATTAAAAAAGATTACAATCAATAGGATTCTTTCTTTTTAATAGGGTATAACAAATATGTAGAAAGTCAATAGGATTCATCACTACAAAAAAGGAATATGAATCCTTGTAAATAAAAAGTGTGTTATTTGATAATGTCTCAATAACTAAAATGGTTTTCAAAGAAAGTAGCAAGGAAATGTGAATGCTGGATAGAAGGACAAAGAGGTAAGAATAGTATACGAAGACATTAAAATGTGGGCATAGAAAATCTTAACTGCTCAAATCATTATATTAGAAATATTCAGAATTCAAACAATAAAAAGCTTAAAGATGGGTTCCCAGAAAAGTATTTATCGGGTGGTTATTTCCAATAAAAGTATGGTAATTTTGGTATATATGGAAAGTAGAGATATCCAATCTTACTATAAAAATACTGGATTCCCCGAAAAACACTCATGGAGCGTATACAGGACAAAAATGTAAGGGTTCCCCTAATCAACAGCCAACGATTAGGAATTTCTGCACGTGGATGTCAAAGATCACACGCGAACAATGAGCGCTTGATGTACAAGTTGATAAACTTTATGAAGAGTCAGACGTACAACACTTTCTGAGTTAAAAATGACGGAAAAAGACGCGGGTAGTGGATAATCTGAGAATTTAATTAGGATTCGATATTTGTAATAAATAGTAAGTGATTGAAGACAACATCGTCTTATGTATGCAATGAATTCTCCTCTGACTTCCAAGAGAGGTAAGTCACGTGACGTAAACATGACCTGGTTTGGTCGAATTTTTATAGCAGGGCATTCCTTCACAATGACTATGTTTGAGAAGGATTTGAAGCAAAATTATGACAAATTAATTAGTTTGAATATGTTTTTAGTCCATATATACCATTAAATCACCCAGTTTGTATGCGGGAACCCGTCTTTAAGGGTTCAAATGATGAAATAAATATTATCAATAAAGTACTGTATCTTTTTAGATGTGTAAATTCAAATAGACCTAGTGCTTGTAATGTTGATAGGGCCTGTGGTGCTGTTCAATGAACATAATGTTACTAAGGAAACCAAGATCTGTTCAGAAAGAACAGAAATCCTTCTGGCCATCCTACCATTACACAACCTATAAAAACATTTTCTACAAAACACTGGTTTACTACATAAATAAGAATGTCCTTGAGCAGACCTTTCACAATACATAGATTTAATCCTTCATACAACAAAAATATGATGTTGTTTAATATATTTCTTCCCTTCAGTGAGATTCTAGAAGGGATCATTGATACAACCTTTAAATGTTAAATATACTACAGTGTTAACATCAATACATCTGATGGTACTAAGTTATAGTCAGATTGACTTTTCAATACCTATACTAGTACATAAAATAGTATTAAAAAAAGACAAAATGTTAATTAAACTTTTCACAATTTAAATTAACTGGATCTTTTTGATTTGGGTCGAAAATAAAATTGTAGATTTCATTGGATTTTATATTTTGATTTGTTTCGATGAATGGGAATTTGTCTTAAAGATGCATTATGTAAGATTTAGATAAAGATCTAGTTCAAAAATCGATAATGAAAATTGAATATATTGAAAATATCATTCAAATTACTTTATTGAGCAAATTATCAGTGTCTGAAGTTTTGACAACATGTAGCATAGATTGTTTATTATTGTAGCAACAGTACTTGACAATTGAGGCTGAGTCTCAGGTATCCAACTTTTTGTTAAATTTTTAAATCTCCCATCTCGGACATTCGATGATCTAGAGAGTTAATTACAGGCTTGTCATGTGAATAAACGTCTAAATATTAGTTTATACAACACTTGAAGCCAACTAAAGACCTGCAATAGGCAGATTTAACTCCTACATGTACATAATGCATTTAATTTAAAATTATGTTTAGATAAACCCAGTGTTAAGATGTAACTGGTTTTGTTTTCCACTGTCAAGAGAGAGAGAGAGAATTGGGGTTTAACATCCACGCAACACAAACTAGGTCATTTCGGGACTAACACCTGGTTCAACTTTAATTCAATAATTCGCTTGCGCGTAGGAGTCTTTAGCAGTGGGAGGAAAATGGAGGACCTGGAGAAAACCCACGAGGTTGGAGTTTTCCACTGTCAAAGCCAACAGTTAGAAAAAATTACGGTTGTAAACAGACTGACTTCTACTTTTATTTAATCTTTTGAAATTTAAACTGAATCCTATATACAATATGTAAGGATAAACCATTACTAATCAAAATAACACGTCAGATCAACCCAATTCAAGCCTTTTTCTTTTATGTAAATCAAAGTTGTGTGGCTCCTTTAAATATTAGAAAAATAAGGGTGAAATTGTTTTGTTTTGGAAGTACATGTATAATGAAAATGTTCAGTGGTTTGTAAAATATCTAATACTAATAGCCCTCATCTTGATAACCAAGACTAGTTAATATGGTAGAAGAAAAATAGCTCTTGTCATAGTATGAATTGTGATTATTATTTTATGAATCTCTCATATAATGATTATGGCTTTCACTGGATTCTCTTTCAATAAAATCTGACATCTTTTCATTAGAAAATCTAAGAGGGTAATGAATATCGAAGGATAAAATATGTATTATTGTTAATATCAGATACTATACCACCATTATTCACTGATAGCTAAACCACCTGTTTTAAAATTAACTATTAAGCTTTTACATCAATCAATTTAGTCCAGAGAGTGAAAATTGGACAGATTCCAAATTACCATACTGCAGTTCCTCTTACAATCAAATTCTTCTGAAGAATGTCATGAGAATTTTTAATCTTATACTTGCCAACAAAACAGAAGGGTTTCTCAAGTGATTAATCACGTAAGTTACTAATAAAGTGTTCAAATGGTTTAAAGATATATTACTAATAGTATTTAAATTTTAGAAGAACATCGTCATTCATAAGTATGTGGTATAGTTCATTGCTCTATCCAGTTACTAAATGCCTCTAAAAGATTATTATTGTCAGACAAGTATATATTTTAAACAAAATAGTTTTAACTATGTGAACATGTATCTCATTAGTTTTGAGATACTATTTTACCATGGCAACAAGTAAATATATTTAGATATTGTTATATAATTTGATTTTGTTCTACAACTTTCAACTAAAACTACATGAATTCATGGGTAAAAGTAACTAAAGAATAAAACCACTAATTTTTCAGACTGAATCCTCATATTGTTTCATTTCTATTGTAGATCATCTCCTGGCATGTGTATACTCAAAATAAAAAGCCAGCCATCCATAGATCTTACCATAAACTTATAGATGAGAAGATTTGCTTTATATTGTCTGTACAGATGATCCCGATTATTGTGAAATTTCCAATTCATGATGTTTATAAATACCGTACAGAAATGAACCATTTTGGAGATTAAACTTTCACAGTGTTGTTGACAAGGGATTTAAAATCTCTCAAATTGCAGATTATTAACAGTAAATACAACCTACTATATAAAAGTATATGTAACTATGTATATTCATGAAAATCTGTGAAAGATTAATAACAGTAAATATAACCTACAGTGTAAAAGTAACAGTAAGACAGATTAATAACAGTAAATATAACCTACCATGTGTATTTGTGAGATTTAATAGAAAACCACAAGCTATGGTTCGTAATTTCTCTGAGCCCTCTCTGTCTACTTTTAATTGTGATCTTAGTAGATCTGTTAATAATTTGATACCATCACTTTCATCAATCACATTTCTTCCAGCATCTACAAAACACAGATAATATAACACTAGTAAATAAATTTGTAAGTACAACATGGATGATTATATATACCTGTATAATTTATATACCATAGTCTCAATGATACCTGAAACTAATGGTACTGGGCAATACCTTAAATTGGAAGAATCAGGAAAACATTAAAAAATTCACACTTAATATTATTCAAGAGTCATTTTTATATGCCCACATTTTCATGTGGACGTATATTGTCGTCGCCCCTGTCCGTCTGACCACAATTTGTTTGTGGACACTCTACGGTCACAATTTTATCCAATTTAAACGTAACTTGAAATATATGTCTATCTCCAAAACATCTCAGTTCCTTTCGAAATTGGCATGTATCAGATTATAACTTCATGGATAATGGCCCCTGATTGTACGAAAAATCACATTTTTAGGTTGTGGGCCCTATCGAGTTCACAATTTTTATCTGATTGTGATGAAACTTAAAATAGATTTTTATATCCCAAAGATCTCAGTCCCTTTCAATATTTTTCTTGCATTTCAGGCCATAGTTTTTTAGATTATGGCGTCTGATTGTATGAAAAATTGCTTTTATTTATTAGCTTGTTCTCTTATCCATCTCTTGCAAAATGTGGGCACATCTTGCCTAGCAACCGCTGGTTATCACATTTCATAAACCATTTAAAGACCTTTTGTTTGTTCATTCGAAACTGTTTTATTTTAAACAAGTGCACAGTTGGACAAATCTGAAGTAACACCATGGCCGTGCAAGCAACATAACTACCAATTTTGAACGAAATCGATCCAATGACTTTGAAGAAGTCGAAAAAATGTTTAAATAAGCCCTTTACAGTGTGCACCCAAGTAGTGCTGGGTATTGTGACTACATACATGTACTTATTATAATAAAGGTGTTGTAATAAGATTAGAATCCAAATACATATACTATTCAAAAAAAGTAGGGGATATTTGATTTTTAAGTGTTATTAAAGTCACCTAATGAAACTGACGAAGAAACAAATGACAAAATGAAATGAAGTTCACATTCATCGATTTATTCCAAATGATCGTTAGACTAAGTAAGGCACAGACTGACCATTATAAGGGTAAAATGATACCCGGGGTCAAACAGCAAAGTTACCACAGCATCACAACCAAGTCAGTAACGGGTAAATCCTCCTCTGTTTGCCAAACAAGCATTGATCCGACATGGCATACTCCTAATGAGACGTCTAAGGTCATTTTGGTCCAGATTGTCCCATTCCTGCTGCAACGCAGCAGCAAGTTCTTGGACATTGGCAGGACGTTGTTGACGTTGACGTAACCTCTGTCCAAGCATGTCCCAGACATGCTCGATGGGGGAGAGGTCGGGACTCAGTGCTGGCCAAGGTAATGTGGTGATGTTCTGTTGTTGGAGGTAACCTGTAACGATCCTGGCCCTGTGACATCTTGCGTTGTCATCCTGGAAGATGTTGTCACGGTAGTACTGGCCTGTAACACGCCCTGCAACAACATGTAAAGCCGTTCTTCCAGCAACAGTGATGCCTCCCCACACCATAACAGAACCACCCCCAAATCGATCATGTCTGATGACGTTAACGTCTTGGAAGCGCTCGTTTCGACGACGCCACACCCTCCTACGTCTGTCCAAAAAATCAACAGTGAACCTTGACTCATCTGAAAACATCACATTGCTCCAGCGTCGATTATCCCAGTGTTGACGATCCCTACACCAACGACGTCTTGCCTGAATGTGATGATCTCTCACACTCACACCAGTGTCTGTTTGAAGACGAGCGCTGATCTGATTTGCTGTGATGACACGATTTCTCAAGGCCAAGGTACGGATAAATCGATCCTGGGCTTGAGTTGTCGCCCTTGGTCGACCTGAGCGTGGTCTGTCCTGTACAGATTGTGTATCACGGTATCTGGACCATAGCCTGCTTATGACAGACTGAGAAACATTCATCGTCCGCGCCACAACCGCCTGTGTTGTGCCGATTTGTAGCATGCCAAGGGCACGTAACCTTTCATTTTGGGTAAGCCGACGCATATCAAAATTTGTTTTCTGGTCACTAAAACAATTAAACTGATGTTTCCACCCTGGAATTCAATGCCACTATGACTGTAACATTCAAAGTCAGAGTCGTGCAAATCTTGGGTTGGACCCCCATGATGATCCCAAGCATCACCTGCATTCCATGCGGTAGCTATTGGTGCGTTTGGGCGTCACATGTAACTGGAAATGTTTCTTCTGTTAGGTTCTATAGTGACTTTTTTCGTAGTCATTTGCATATTTTAGTATTATGCCCCCAAAATCAAATATCCCCTACTTTTTTGGAATAGTATATATCCGATATTGAATATGTGAATGTGTGTATTTTGTGTTGTTAGTAGAACCTAGTACAACAGGTCTGTCGAGATATGTCATGAGAGGGTTAATCAAATTAATATAAGTATTTTTGTGCAGAAAATTCTTATTAAAAAAAAATAAATCATCAAGAATCAATTCAATTACCTACAATTCAACTGTACTAACAGTAACAAGCTTGCCGAACAAGATGATTCGGAAACCATTAAAGCTTATTGGACAAAATGATCCACTCACTCTATTTTAACAAGGCATTTCGGAGGAAAGCAGGGACAAGTCGCCTCAAAATCAACATTTTTTCCAGGTTTTAATCAGACTAGCATGTGTAGTGGTAATAATTCTTCTACTCATTTTGCAGTCTACCATAAAAAAGTCATCTTTCTTGTTGTCCTTGATTGAATATATATTGTTGTTCTAATCTAATATTTGTTATTTTCAAGTTAATAATGTCAAAGTTGTCAACATAGGACTATCTTTGAAATGAACACTTTTTCAGAACTGTGACTTCCACGATATTAAAGCGTTTTTTACCCCTTTATCTCTATAAGTTAAATAGAAATAGTTATTTATATCTCTGTCCAACTATTTCCTAACCAGAAGACGTAAGCTAAGATCTGTAAGTACTTATAGAAGATATATATAATAACAGTAAAGGTTAAGAAAGGTGAGATGATATTATACATAATAAGAAAAAGGTAACATAATTACCTATAGGCAATAGAACATGTGGTACTTTTAATCACATTCATATAACATCCTTTGTTCACATCAATATTTCCTCCAGACATATTTTGTAACCATTTCTAAGGTTTTTTGACACTAAGTGTACTATGCCAATGGGAAACAATTTTAACAGTATCATTATGCTGCTAATCATTCCAAGACCCATTGTTTTCATCTATTCAAACCCATATTTGCGAGAAATATAAGGTAAGAATGAAAAAATTTCTGGCAGCAAACATGCTGACACACATCATGATAGTGAATCAAACCGCAAATCAAAAAAAAAATTTGATTGCACTGTGAGTGTAACAATAACTATCACCAATCTCAATTAACTATAATAATACATAGTCGAGGTTCATACAGAAATTAAGTGACAAACCAATTTGAATTTCAAACTGACTATTCATTGTTCAAGTCTTTATCATCAGATAGATGACAATTCTAAAGATAAAGCAGCTAAGTATGGATATCATTCTCAAGGAGCTGTCAATAATATAGAGTCATCTCATGAAGAAGGGACAATGGGGAATGAGTATAGCATGGATTTTGGCAAATGAAAACACATCCAAAGATAAATTATAAAAGTTTGCAAAATATGCTTTAAAATTGGCTGTTCTCCTGGCCTAGTCTGTATTAAAGACAACCACACATCGATTCCTGTTCTGGCTGGCTGTTCATAATGAGGTAGTTAATGTACATGTCTATGGAACTGTCTTGTCTTTCTTATAATGATGAAGAAAATATACCGCTATAATTTTTTCATTCATTAAGATCCTTTGTTACATGTACATATTTAGGACTATTTATCAAAAAGACGAGGATCATATACTAAAGATCAAATGATCTTACATTTATATTTCCTAAAATATTATTTGAATTCAAACCTACAAATCAATGAAGATCCTGCATATAAACTAAGCCATTATTAAATATCCATTTGTTAATAACCTATCAAACTCTTACAGACAAAATAGTTTTACTCATTCAATTTGTTATTTCTAAGAGATCAATATCATTTTGTTGGAAGTGAGTAGTTAGATAAATATCTTATAGTTTGTAGAACTCTTTGATTTCATTCTTGTCGAGTATAGCTTATAAACATAAAGCTACATAGACACGAGTATAGAGTAGTATAGACATAAATGGATTTCCAATCATTAACTATCATAACCTTCCACCAAAGTCAGAATCATAAATGGTTCCTATATTATAATGCTGATTGCTCTGGATATGGTGACTGTAGGCACAATCTATTGTCAATGTTTTGTAGTTTATGAAGTGACAACAATACTCACATACCATAATAATTTGGTTGAGAGATAGGAAAATCAGAGCAAAGACAACGAATGTAGATAACTTTAATGCACTACATAAATAATCCATATTTTCAATATTGTAATAAATGCCCATTGAGCACAGTTTTCTCCTTGGTTTCCATGTGAGAATATCTACTTCCCATGATGACATCATTTGAATTATGATGATTTATGTGTGGTTGTTATGAATAGTGAAATGAATCCCAGAAGTGTAATATTGTATATGTTGTTTGTCTGGTCTGGTGGACATGATCTTAACAAACCAAACATACAAAATTTTATAAATTCATGAATGAACCCGTAGAAAAACACCTGTTTTAAAGTTCTCTGATTCTATCTTTATAAATCAAGCTAAGGTAGATATACACATCACCAATAATCTATGTCAGTACCAGTTGGCAGCAAGTGAAAGGCATTAATGTTCCATTCCAACTCCAAGAGTCTAAAATTTCTCACCTTTAACCTATACTTGTATTCTCTTAAGTTCTTTACTTGGGATAATTCATTCACATGCTCGCTTACAGGTAAACCAATAAATAAATGATGCATTGTACTTGGACTGAAGGAACTTTCAGGTACTTTTTATACTACATCAGTAAAGTAAGA